GAGAGATGAGGTGCGATCTCTAAAACCGAGAGAACTAGACTAAGCCAAGTTCTTTGAACAGTTGTATGACAACCTAAGAAGTTTTGAATAACAACCCTGTGTAGATAACTTTAAACCCTCGTTAAAAGCTTAAAATTCAACATACCTTTAACCTCTTGTACCATTTTTTGGAGAGTTTAGGCCTTCCTCTGACAAACAGAATACAAAAAAATTTTTGATGATCATAACCAAATTTTGCTCACAACATCAACTTTATAGAAAAAAACATACAAAATTACAAACCACAGCATACATAGGTTGAATAGTGATAAGAACGCATGCAAGAAGAAGCTTTGAGACCCTTTCAACCACAATATTTTGTTTGGTCATACTGATAGAGATTTGAGGTTTCTAGTGCTTTGAATATCCAGATTTATCCAGACAGAAATCAGGAAAATATTTCAATTCTTATCAGACTTAAGAAAGTAGTTATTAGATTGTGGGAAAACATCTAGTTTTTGGGTTGATACATTATGCAGAAAAAAAAAAGAGAAAACACATCCAACAAGAAATTACTATAAGTAGCCATCCTTTTCACACAGCTCATTATTACTCCATTTAGTAAACTTTCAGTTTAAAAAAGACTAGGAAATAGATTTGTCAAACAACCACAGAACCCTTTGGTGCAATCTACTGGGCTGCCAAGGAAGAGTACCAATGTAAAAGAAATTTCCCACTTGAGCTGCCATTTGAGAATTCACAGTCTTACCCAACAAAAGACAAAACTACCTTTAACCTTTACAAGCTAATAAAATTAAGGTTGATTAATGTCTATTTATGACTATATTGTTATAACAAGAATTACACAAAACAAGCAATACCTGACTGTTTTGTGCCAAACGATGTTAAAATTGACAGGTGAGCAGAAATTCTGTGTGACAGCAATTGTTGTGTCCAAGTTTATCACTACATGCCACCATCCACCTGGAATGAACACAGTTTCTCCTGGGCAGTGAAGGATCTCAAGCTTAAATGGGGAAAAAATAATGTATGCAAGTAAGAATACAAAAAAACTTATGTAAGTAACACATTATTTTAAAAACATGCTTGTCCTGTCAATGAAGCTGATTTCCACAAGGGGCATGTGGTTACAGATACTGAATTTAAAATCTAAACAACTAGATTTTCACCCTTCAACTTTTAAGATCTGATTGTTAATTCTCCCTTTTAGCTGATACTCATTTCCTTGTAAATTAGTTATGAG